CAGAAAATGGGGCGCACGGGCATGGATCATGGACGTGCGGGCAATGTCCATGACCAAGCCTATGCGGCGCTCAGCAACTCCATTCTGCTGTGGGGACTCTGGCAGCGTCCAGGACTGTACAATGCCCTGTTCGCCACAGAATCCGCCGAGAATGCCGGAGCGAAACTCGCCCCCACGGTCGGAGTGGAGACAACTGACTCGACGACCACGAGTGCCCTCAGTGGCTAGAAGCCACCTGATCAGCGTAGCAGTCACCTCGGACTTCTTCGCAAGAGGGAACACTGTGGTGTACCTGGAGTAGTCGTCGACGACCACCAGAAAGTAACGCTCCCTCGCAGACCCCTGCGTCGGGGCAGGGCCCCAGACGTCCAAGTGGAGAGTCTCGAAGGGAGCGGTGGCCGGACGAAGGGAGGAGGAGTGGGGAGTGGCGCGTAAGCGACCGGCGACGCACGGAGAGCAAGGAGGGGCAAGCGAGGGAGGGAGCGACGGGAAGGTGCGCGGGAGACCTGTGACAAGTCTTGGACTGAGCATGCCACGAAGGCGAGGGATCGACGGGTGGCCAAGGCAGTGGTGCCACAGGACGGTGCGGTGGGCGAGAGAGCGACAGGAGCAAGACGCAGCGACTGGACTGGACATAGCGACCGGACCGGACACGACTACCTGGCTAGACACAGTAACTGGACTGGGGACGTGGGCCGGAGGGGACGCAACGACCTGAGGGGAGGACGCGACCGGGGAGCGCTCGGTGTGGAGAACGTAGAGACCGGAGCGGGGCTCCCTGGTGAACGTGGCCAGAACAGCACATGTGGTAGCGTCTGTACAGACTGCAGTCCGCCCACCCCCCACGAAGGTAACCGTGATCCCCCTGTCCTGGAGGTATCCAACACCCACCAAGTTCCGAGTGAACGAGGGGATGTGGAGGCCGCGCAGGACACCAGAGGGGACCACAGGGCACGGGAGGGTGGTGGAGCTACGCGCAACGGCTGGTCCAGAGGTAGGATCAGCCAGAGCCACTGACACAGGAGTGAGGAGTGGCGTAAGGGTCGTGTGGTCGCGGAAGAAGCACTGAGACGCGCCCGAGTCCAGCGTGAACGACAGAGAGGCCTCAGCCGGAGGGTCACCTGACCCAGTCGCTACACAAGCACCTAGAGCAGCAACACAAGCACCTAAGCTAGACAGGCACAAGGCTACACTAGCAGGAGGCAAGCAGGCTAAACTACGAACACGCGAGCACACAGATCCATCAGCACTAAAGTCAGCATCAACATACAAAGCATGCTGACGCGCATCGTCCATGGACAGATCAAAGACATCAATCTTACGGGTTAACAGACGAGACCAGCGGGGCGTGACCGCCAGAGGGCCCCAGCGAGCCCGGTAGAGGTCGTCGAGGCGGCGGAAGCACCGCGCGGCAGAGTGGTCGTCGCGACCACAGAGACAGGGGCTGCCCGGCCCGGTGAGGCACCAGTGGGTGCAGGGGCCAGCGTCACGGCGAGGGGGGCGAGGGGCCCAGCCGGAAGAGCTGCTGCTGCGGCCGGGGCTCCCAGGGCCTCCCGGACCCCACTGCGGCGGGGGACCCCAGTGCTGCTGCGGACCCCACTGCAGTGGGGGCCCCCACTGCTGGAACTGCTGCGGTGCCTGCTGCTGCTGCTGTCCCTGCTGCTGCTGCTGTCCCTGCTGTGGCTGGTGCTGCTGTGGCTGCTGCTGCTGGGGGGCAACACCCCCACCGTCGGGCCACCACCTGTGGGTGGAACTGTCTGTCCTGCACCTCCTCCAAGGCCCCCTCCCCCTGGTGCACCACCGCCGCCGCCGCCGCCTCCGCCACCACCGCCGCTCCCACCTCCACCGCCCCCTCCACTGCCGCCTCCTCCGCCCCCACCTCCCCCCTTCCCGCCCTTCTTGCCACTCTTGCCCCGTTTCTGCCAGTCTGTGGCAGAAACGGCAGCGGTGTCCTCAGAGACCGACACAGCAGCAGAAGCGCGGGTAGCGGTGAAAGTGGGAAGCTGAGGGGCGGCACACCCCGCAAAGAGACGGGGGGCCACCGCATCAGTGGCGGAGGCAACGGTGAGGAGGCTGCTCTCAATGGTCCCGAGAGCAGTCTGAAGGAGGTCTATAGTGAGTTCAGTGGGGTGCTTCTGAAGAAGCGCGTTGCGGGCAGTGGCAAGGCGGTCAGGGAGGCGGGTGACTAACCAGTGCACAGTGAGCCACATGGGGGGGGGAGCAACAAGGAGCTGTGTGTCGGTACAGGCCGAACGAAAACCGGCGTCAAGCGAGCGAAGGTGAGTCACTAGGTCGGAAACAGTCGCAAACGAGCCTAGGTCGGGAAACACGAGCGGCATGAGGAGGCGACTGAGGGAGGCGGAGGAGGGGGTGGAATAGCGAGCCACAATAGCATCCCAAACCCCCTTGGCTGTCTCCACCTGGTCAAAGTGAGCGGCCTCAGTCGGGGGGAGAAGCTCCGATAGCGTGAGGGCGGCGGCCGCGTCATGAGAGAGCCACACGTCCCGAGCCAGGACCCGACGGTCGTAGTCCGCCTGGGCCGTAGGAGTCGGCTCCGGGGCGGTCGGCAGGGCGGCGGGGGACGGGGGTGCCGCGAGAGCGCCTGACGCGTGGGCCCACAGAGTGGCGCCGTCCTGACGCTGGCTGGTGAGGAAACGTGTGGTCTGGCGCTACCAGGTACCGAACTCGATCGGGCTTCCCTCAGCATCGAAACGGAGGCGACGGGCCTCCATAGCGGAGCCCATGCTAGAGGCGACTGGAGCACGGCGGAGGCGGAGCTAAGAACGAGGAGGAAAACTACGGAGGGCTAGGGACGCCAGCGGGGAAACCGACGAGAGACAGTCGGCGAGAAGAGAGTCGTGGGGCGGGGCTCTAACCGAACCTAGGTGGCGCTACCGGAGGGAAGGGCGGCTGCCAGCCGCTGAGCCGGGAGCCAAGTGCAGTAGGAATGGCGCGGGACCGGGGCACAGGTGAAGGGGAGAGAGAAGCAGTAAGCGCACAAAGGGATGCGGGAAGCGCACGCAGGTGTGCGGGAAGCGCACGCAGGTGTGCGGTAAGCGCACGCATGTGTGCGGTAAGTGCACGCAGGTGTGCGGGAAGGTTGACGGAGGAGGGCGCGCGACAGGCGGAGGGGAGGGCACGCGACGGTCTAAGGAGGGCGCGCGACGGTTGAGGAGGGCGCGCGACGGTGGGGGAGGGCGCGCGGCGGTCTAAGGAGGGCGCGCGACGGGTTAGGAGGGCGCGCGACGGTTGAGGAGGGCGCGCGACGGTGGGGGAGGGCGCGCGGTGGTCTAAGGAGGGCGCGCGACGGGCTGGACAGCGCGGGAGGGCGCGGGCTAGGCGCGGGGAGGGCGCGGAGGGCGCGGAGGGCGCGAGAGCACGGAGGGCGCGTAGGGCGCGGAGGCTAGCTAAGAACGAACGAGGATCTAACCTACTCGTGATACCATCTCAGAATAGGAATGCAACGGAAATGATTGGAATTAGGGTTTGCAAGGGTACAAATAGGAATCCTACAAAAGCTATACTCTCTAGGGAGTACCTCACTGCAGCCTATCATAACATTGACATTTGACAAAGGGCCCACCACCACTAGACTAGAAAGTGTGCGAACCTTCCTGAGGTAATCCTGAGGGCGATCAACTTCTGATCGCAACACTCTCATACCATGTTGGGCTGAGAAAAGCCCTTAGGATCGTTTCAAGGCTAAGACCCTGAGCAGAGATGTTGTAATTGCGGAAGCGTTCTTAATGAACTGTTGAACCAACTTGCACTAGTGTGTGAGAGCAAGAGATTGATTATAGCAAAGTAATACACAAAGCTTTTATATGATTACAAGGAATATGAAAGGATGCAACCAACTGTTTTACTGTTGCTGTTGCGGTTCGATACAGCGACGACTCGGGCAACTGCTCAGTACCGAGTCAGTTGTTTGTCCTTGCTGTCGCGCTGCTTTTGTAAAGTCAAAGGTCGGCGACCTTTGACTTTCGCGTAACCTCCAGCTGTTACGTTTGTCAACCTCCTTGGTTGACTCGCTGTTGCTTCACTGTAATCTGCCTCGTTTGCAGTTCGTTGTTCCGACACATCAGAAGCGTTAAATCACTTGTTTCCAACAGTCAACACCTACCCACAGCCAGGCCCTCAGATTGGTTTTGGGGCACGCTGATTCGTCAGTGTTGGTCCCTGGAAAAAACTTTCTGTCAGGGTTGGGTCCAAAAAAAACCCTGAAAAATCAGTGTTAAGGTACAAAAAAAAACTTTATGTAGGTGTGGTTTAGGATTAATGACCGTTATGTAGGCTGAAATGGCCCAGTCAATAGAATGTCGACCTCCGAAGGGGACAGTTTCGGGTTCATTCCCGTGTGCTGGCGGGTTGCCACGCAGTCACTGGCGATTTTTTCGGCAAATTCCAAAGACTTCGCGCATTTTCAGCAACAGGACTCGGTTCGTTAGTGTTGTTTCAAATCAGTGTTGGTACATGAAACTTGCCTGAAATTTCAGTGTTGGTACAAATAACTTGCCTGAAAAATCAGTCCTTAAATGGAAAAAAACACTTTCCAATCAGCCTTAGGCCCCAAAAAAACCCTGAAAAAAAGGTTTTCAAGGGCAAATCAGCGTTTTTTTCCTGACTTCTGAGGGCCTGCCCACAGCCGCCCACAGTCTCTTTTGAACAACTCACAGAAGCAACCAGCCGCCCATATCTACCCATACCCGCCCACGGCCGCCCTTAGCCACTCACAGCCCCTCCCAACCGGCCCCAGCCCCTTTCAGCCGCCCACCACCGCCTACTTCTGCCCATTTCCGCCTACAGCCGGCCATAGCCGCCCACAAGGACCCACAATTGATAACAGAATGGAAATAAAGAATGAGGGCATACAGAGGGGGTGTATCTAGCAAACCCGTACCCTTTATAATGCAACCTAGCCTAAATGCATATGTGATGTTGACAGTTAGATGTCTCGTGATTTCATATCTACTCTCCTTAAATCCAAGGGCCGGCTCATATTACTCCTCCCTGGCCTCTACCACAGGCCTCCACATGGTCTTTTGAAACGCGAGTACCGTGTCGTCTGTGTTGCGCTTGTAACTGTCAAGCGGCTTCCAGTGCAGCGCTGCTGCTACCGTTTCCACCATGGCTGCCGTGGCGTTGGTCTCGCGTATAATGACGTACCCCATGGGCCGCAGCACTCGATCCATCTCCAGCATCACGTCCACTATGTCGCAGCTGGAGTCAGGGGGGCGAACGACACACGAGAGGAGAATGTTAAGGGGCAATGCAGGGATACACAGCATGAGCAGGAGAGCCATGCATTGATTGTTCCCTCCCAGCACTCGATCCATCTCCAGCATCACATCCACAATGTCGCAGCTGGAGTTAGGGGTGCAAGAAGCAGGAGAGGAGAATGTAAGAGGCAAAACGCTGGAAAACAAAAGCATGAGCAGGAATGTTCCCCGGGCAGCTTCGGCAGCGAAGCTGGATTGAAAGCTGGAGATGGAACACACAGATGGAGAAGAAATTCGAAGCTAGTTCAAATCGCACCACCCAAACAGCCTCACACTCGGCTCATTGGACTTGGCCTACCAGTGCAAATCAGGCTTACCCGCGGCGGTGGTTCTTGTTGAGGTGGCTCAGCAGGTGGTGGGCGTGCAGCAGGTCGTAGGTGCGCGGGTACGTGCTGAACGACTCGCACCAGTCGTGGTATACGCCTAACAGCCCGCGCTCAAACACCAACGGGAGAGTGTCAGGCCGTGATGTCGGCACCACGTTGAGCGTCCACAGCGGCTTGCCCGTGGCTGCTAATGCTGCTCCCCACCTGGTGCGAGGCGGGCATGGGAATGGCATGTGTGGGTGTTGGCAGGACGTGGCGGGGAAGAATTGAGGCATGGGGCATCCAGGCACAGACCAACGCCACATGAATCCTTATGTGCAAAATGCTTCATGCTACAAGAGGCATTGTATGCATCATGTCCCATGACGCGTGCTGTGCATAGAGTCACAGGAAGCAGGATACGTGAATGCATCGCCACATCAGCCACGAGCCATGCACGCGCCCACACGTACCCGCCCATGCGAGCATCCATGTCCATCACGTTGCGAATGGTGCTCCAGTCGAACCCCATCCGCCGCTCATACGTCCGCTGCACCCGCTCCCACTTCTCCGTCTCATTGCTGAACGCCCCATACCCTCCGTACCCAACTCCCTCTCCCCTCGTCCTCCCCCCATCCCACTCCCCATCCCCGCCCCCTATCCTCTCCTGCTGCAGCTGCAGCCGCAACTGCATCTTCTCATCCACTCGGTTGCTCTCACTGCTGCTGCTGCTACTACTGCTGAAAATAAAGCTGTTACTGCCACGGCTGCTGCTGCTGCTGCTCCCGCTGCTGCTGCCTCTGCTGCTGGGTCTGCTGCTCGCACTTGCTTCCTTGAACTCCTCCCACACCTCCTCCGCCTCCACCACCGCGCGGCTCTCCAATGCTTCCGCCGCGCCGTCCAGCCACACCGGCTCCGCCGTGAGCCGCTCCGTGCCGTCCGCGGGCCACTGCGAGCCGTGCTGCGCGTCGCGGTCCATGGGCACGCGGTGCATGCACGACTGCATCGGCACGTACCTGCGCGCATAGAGCGGCGGGCGGGCGGGCAAGCGGGAAAGTTGGCGAGGTTGAGCAGGGAAGTATGAGAAGAGGGAGGCAGATGGCATTGCCGACCTGCTTCAAACTGTTCAATAACGGAGCTAGGGGCGTGGCGTGCCAGGAGAACCAGTGGCGGCATGAGAAGTCGAGGACGAGGAATGTTAAGTAGTAAGATACGACGAAGGAGTTCGTACCAGGAATCGAGATACGTACCAGGCAGCATCGGGCTCATCCGCGATGGAGCATAGCGGCGCAAGCGACGAGTTATTAGGGCGGTGGCGGTAGCACCGGTTGTCGGTGGGCTTCTGCCAAACCGCCACTCCGATCCCGAACGTCATGTTCACGCTCTTGGTGCGCAGCGTCCAGCACATACGCGTTGTAAGCTCCTCCATGGCATCCCACACCTCGCGGTCATCCGGCTCGAACGCCTTACACTCGAGGCACACGGGAGTGGCGGACCAAATGAAATACCCCCCGGGCCGGATGAGTCGGTTCAGCTCCAGCAGCAGCAACCCGCCGTTAGCGTGCCATGGCACGCGGCACCGCGCGCAGTGCACGGCGTCGAAGGAATTCGCGGGGAACGGCTGGCGCAACGTGCCCATCACGCCGACCAGCGCGGGGACTCCGCGCTCCAGCGCGAATTGCACCTGCGCCTCGTGCTCGTCCTTGGGCGCCACGGACAGCACCTTGACGCTCATCGCGTCCAGATACGCGCCGAAGCTCGCGACGCCGCAGCCCATGTCGAGCGCGACCTGCACGTGGCGCCCCCACGCGAGCTCCGGAAGGACCTGCTCCAGCCATGCGATGTACGTGGCGGCGCCGTATTTGAACTGCGTGCCGCCGCCGGGGAAGATGAAGCGGTCAGACTCCACTTTGAGCCAGTTCTGGTCCGCCTTGTAGTTGGCCAGGGACGTGCGCGGCACGTTGTTGAACCAGATCTGCGACCAAGGGACGTGCGCGGATGTTAGTGGAAGTGTGGTGGTGCGCGCAATTTATAATCAGTAACGGACCGACAGGTCGAGCGCGTGGTTCTCGTACGTACTCGTAGCGGCGAATTGCTCTCCCTTATCCATTCGTCTTCCTGCCATGCAAATCATCCTTTCAGTTCTCTCCGCCTCCCTTCTTTCCCCCCTCTCCCCCCACCTCCCCATCCTCTCCCCGTCCACCCCTCTCCTCTCAATGCGCGCATCTCACCTCATCGCGGCTTTCGGGCCAGGGGACGTGCGGCTTGTAGCCTTCAGGCATGGGCACGACGCAGCGCGGCATTTCCTGTGGGTTGGGGCAGTGGCGCTCGCGGTGCTGGTACTGCTTGGTGGTGCGCAGCTTCTTGATCGCGCGCGTGTTGTCCAGGCACGGGATGTAGTCGTCGCTCACCGCGTCGCACAGCGGGAAGGAAGCGGGGATCGCAGGGAGCAGCATGCTGCCTGTTACCGCACCTGGGGACTCGGAGGCACGGGAGATCTGCGCACGAGGAGAAGGGGGGAGAGCAGGTAAGGAGGGGGAACCAGGTGGAACAGGGGGTAGTAGAGGGTTTAACAAAACAAGAGGGATGTGCAGGAGGCAAGGGAAAATCAGTAACTGGCTTTTAAGACGGGTCGCCGAATTGGGGAGCACACAGGATGAGGTCAAAATTAAGGTCCAGGGGGGTCAGAGAAAACGGACTGTTCTAACTGATATCGAAGCAAATTCTAAGTAAAACTTGTATTCGGGAGCTCATGGTGGCAACCTGCTCTTTGCATAGCTCACCTTGTCACTCCCTGGTCTGGTTAGTAGCCATGTTGCGATGAGAATTAGCACGGTCGCAACAGCTATGGTGTTGCTGGGCTGGTTTACAGTACGAGTATTACCCATGGCTGAACTTTGTAAAAACCGCACGCGCGTCTATGAGAGCCTGGATGGCGACGACGAAAAAAATAAGACCGAAACTGTTCTTGTCCTTGGCTTCGTTCCACTTCACAAGTGGTTCAATCTCTCACGCTCGACCAGGAGTGAAACGGATTCAAGCGAGAACGAACACGAACACGCAATTCACGCAGGCGAAAAGCTTGGGCACCAAGAAACGCCGCAAGAAAAAAAGCAAAAGTCGAGACTAAGGGATCCTCACGACAGAATTTGTGGCATGGCTGAAGATCCCAGCTGTGGCCCCTTGGGAATTCAATCGTGAGCCACCTCAGCTGGAACGAGTGAATGCGAGGTGTGATTGACAGGGGGTTGCTGTCCCAAAGGGTTCACCTCTGTGCGGCTCGTAAACAACAACGGTCTTGGTTTGGTTTGAAATTCTTGGGTTTGCTCGTTGCTTCGGAGTCAAAAGCGGGGGTGCCCAAGGCATCGCCCCGCCCTGCAAGTCTCTCCGGCCCGGGCTCGAGTCGAGTCTCTCGAGTCCATTTTCAGCAGCAAGCGCGCTTCGTGACGAGCCTGTTCTGGAAACAAAATTCGCGGTGGAGGGGAGGCAGGAAGAGCGCGAAAGCAACGGCAGAGCGGCGCCGAAGTGATTGATGGGTGTCCGTCCTGCTCTGGACACTGCCCAATGCATCAGCCAATATACACAAAAGGAGCACCACAATCGAGGACATGCACCACCTTCAGTGTGATGTGAATACTTATCGGTACCATTTGCAGCACTATTTTTATAAGGGTAGTCAACAGCCATGACTAAGGGTGCATTCCGCTCTGGACATGTCCCAATAGAAAGTGTCCCAATCGATTCTACCGCACTGCATCTTATTACACCGAATTACACCCTAGTTTCACACATTGTCAAAATTTTCGCGTCTCTGGTTTAGTTCGGTTCGGAGCGATACAACCGATTGGGACATGTACTTTTGGGACATGTCCAGAGCGGAATGCACCCTAAGTGACACTATGGTGGTGCGCCAAGTAGTATGGATACATGTGATGTGAATTGCGAGATATCGTGAACCAGCTTTTATTCTTTCAAAAGAGCAGATAAAGCAAAATGTTTCAGCTTTTGTCAAGTTATAAATAAGTGTACGGACTCTGATGTATCAGCAGTTGAGGGCAACCCGTGCTCCTTGTTGGAAACAATTAATTAACGCTTCTGTTGTGTCGAAACACGGAACTACAAACGAGACGAACTACAGCGAAGCAGCGGCGAGTCAACCGAGGAGGTTGACAGAAAACAACAGCTGGAGGTTACGCGAAGGTCAAAGGTCGCCGACCCTTGACTTGACAAAAGGACAGCACGGCAACAAGGACACACAAATGACTCGACATTGAGCAGTTGCCCGAGCCGTTGCTATATCGAACCGCAACAGCTACAGCAACAGTTATCTGCATCCTTTCATATCCCTTGTAATCATATAAAAGCCCTGTATTACTTTGCTATAATAAATCTCTTGCTCTCACACACCAGTGCAAGGTGGTTCAATAGTTCACTAAGAACGCTTCCGCTATTACAACATTCCTACACAGGGTCTTAGCCTTGAAACGATCCTAAGGGCTTTTCTCAGCCCAACACTCCTCAACCCTCAATAAGCTTGACAGGTGTGCTGCAGACATTCGGGTTCCACAGGGGCATGTGACATGAATAACTCATGCTTGGATATGCATAGAACACAGGAACCCAGGATACACCCAAATAGCTAAACAAAAAAAAGAAAGATAAAGAATCATGGCTTTACTTGAGCAGAAAAAAAACATAACAAAGGCACGAGGAGGGGTAAGGGCAGACTGGAATCAGAGAGCTTGGCAGCAGGAGGAGGGAGGACGTGGCAGAGTGAGAGGAAAGAGAGCAATGGTAAGATGCGCTCACCCATAGGCGTTTTGCTTCACTGCCAGGAGCTCCACATTCATCTGCAGGCAATGGAGTAACGGAGCAGAGCAGCACAGAGACATGCTTCACAGGTTAGTCAAAAGGAAACGTGCCATTCAGATTGTGCTCTGCTCAGCCCAAGCGCGAAGCAACTAAGAACTGGCTGGTTGGGTTGGGATGGAACGTGAAGTCCGCCGCCCAAACTGCAAACTGCAAGCCGCGGGCTTCAAACATTTCAATCTGGATTCGAGTCTGTTACAGTCTATCTGCACGAATCCTTCAGCATCTTCAGATTCAAGAGCACTAGCTTTAAGCTAGAGGCTCCGGTGAATCCTGGGCTGGAGGGGCTTAGAAAGTGGGCATTACGTTTTGAGAGGCTCTCATCCTAACCCACAATGCCCAACCAGCAGAGACGACGGGAGCAAAAGCCTTTCACAAGCACACCCTGGCTTGGCTAGCCCAGCAAAAACACTGCTTACATAAACGAGTTTCGATAACTAGAATTCTAGCTTCCTGTTTCCAAAACCTTGAACAATTCGAAAGCCGTGGGCTTCAAGGTGCAGCGAAGGGATGAGCGGCGCGGGCTCTAAGGGGCATTGAAGAAATGAGCGGCGGGGGGGGTCACGTCACCTGGAGAGTGGCATTGGGTGGGATCTCCTGAATGCCTCGATTGCCATATGCCAGCTCCGGAGGCACTATCATTTGCCGCTGCAGGCACGCAGACAAGGCGAGAGAGAGGAGGATGAGGATGACGGGGAGGGCATGGGGGGGTTTTATGTGCAAGCGTCAAATGATAGCGAACTTGTTCCGGGGATGTGCAGCAGACATGGCCTTGCATGCAGCATATGGCACATTGGCATGCAATCCACACGATGGCCGGCCAACTCATGGATGGATGGATGGACAATGCAGCACAGAGAAGTCAGTGCACGTGGTGTGGTGTGGTGGCGTGGGGCAGAAAGGGCACGTTCAGCTGTATAAAAACTCATCACACCACACCCCCTGCGTGCGTGCATCCCCTTCACGTCCTTCCAACATCAACATTCCGAGATTTGAGACAACTCACAGCTTGAGGAAGCACAGCAGGGGAGGGAGGAGGAGCACTCACCTGGGTAACCATGCCAACTATAAACCAATGAATTCGCACCGCCTGGGTGCATACCCTCAACGCCCACATCCAGCCCCTTGAGCACCAAGCCATGCTTGAGAGAACTCAACACTTGGAGAGGCAGGGCACTCACCACGTCGCCAGCACGCATGCCCTCGACACACTGGTCGAGCCCCTTTCAGCACCAAGCCATTCTTTGAGACAACTCAAAACTTGAAGAAGCAGGGCAGGGCAGGGGCGGGCACACTCACCACGCCGCCGGCGCGCATGCCCTCAACGCCCTGGTCGAGTCCCTTGAGCACCATGCCAAGGCTGCTGGAGCCCAGGTCAAAGCCGTACGGCGTGCCGCCTGTCACGCCCATGCCCTGCCGGCTCGTCATGAACGTGATGCCCTTCCACTGCACCACGTAGTGCACCTGTGTGGGTGATATGCCATGCCATGCCATGCCATGCCATGCACTCCCAGATACACGCACGCGGCACGCCCACGCCCACGGCCACACGCATGTACGCACACACACACGCACATTCACAGAGGGATGGGAAGAATTATCTTAGGCAGGGAGGGCAGCAGCAGTGGGGCGGGATGTGGACATTGGCTGGCGAGGGAGCAGAGCAGCAACAGATGGACGGACACAAGTGGGGTGGGCGGGGTGGGGTGGGGTTGGACTGGGTCTGTGCCAATAAATCTTGCCAAGTGCAGTACAGTGCAGTGCAATGCAGTACAGTGCAGTGCAGCGTGCAGGGCATTTATGAGACCCAGGAAGGAAGAAGAGACAGTGAGTGAGCCCATGATGACATGACACACACACACACGCACGCCACGCCTCACCGTGACTCGGTCTCCCAGCTTGGCCAAGGGCCCTGTGCCAACTTGAATGTCATAGATCCTGCACGCATGCATGCACACAGGGCGCGTGGGGGTTGCAGTGCAGGCTTGGGAGTGAAGCAGGGAGGGAGCAGAGAACTACCCAAGCGAGATGTGAAGTCAGCCTGACCTGGTCAGGTGAGAAGAACATGAAAGAAATTTGAAGTGTGTGTTTCTCTGCAGGCCCAACAGCCCAGCCGTGAAAGGCCCAGATTCAAGTGCAAGAGCATGTGCTTGTTTGCTTGCATAGCAGCAGCGGCGAGGCAGCCTGCAGTGCCTGCCGGGGCGTTGCCCCATCCCACCACCCCCGACTGACTTGAATCTGTTTTTTGAGAATTCTCAAAAAACAGCAGCAGTGAGGCAGGCAGCCTGCAGTGCCTGCGTGGGCGTTGCCCCATCCCATCCCATCCCACCCCCGAGTCCCTGACTGACTGACTTGAGCCCTGTCGGCAGCGTTGTGAACTCGTCCTCCGGTATGCGCGACCCTTGGTTCTGATGCCGTGCCGCGCGCAGCAAGGGGATGCCCGTTGCGCATGGCAGGCAGGTGAGGGAGGGAGGGGGATGGGGGAGGGAGGGAGGGAAGGAGGGAGGGAGGTGAGGAAAGGAGGGGGATAGAGAGGGAGGGAGGAAAAACGGCAGCGTGAGCTGCAGCTAGCATTGAGTGGGACAACGCATCATCAGCTCACCTATAATACATAACGCCAACCAAGCAACTCTAAAATACCGATTGCACTTTCGTACGCATGGTACAAGAGTCATGTGAGCCGCTGGCTCGCGTTTCTGCTGCTCAGAACAGAATGGAGTGAGTGAATATGGGACGTGCAGTGCAGGTGGTGGTGCTGCCAAGCCAACAACCGGCACAGGACAGGACACACACACCTCACACACCTCACACGCCTCACAGAATGCGCGTGAGAATGGGGGCACCTCAACATGACTCAGTTGCAAGAGAAAGACAACCAAGCCAGCATTCCTGGTTAGTACAAGAGTGCATTATCCGATCCGAACCACATTCTGGGAAAGGATAGTAGCGGGGCTGCACTAGGAAGCTGATGAGGACGCAGTGGGGTCGCGGGCGAGCGGGGGAAGGGGGGGGGGGGAGGGAGGAGGGGGGGAGGGGGGGGGGAAGGGGGGGGAAGGGAGGAGGGGGGGGGGGAGGGGGGGAGGGGGGGGGAAGGGGTGGAAGGGGGGGAAGGCACTGACCGCGCGGCGACTGGTGGAGACGGCCTGTGCTGGAATCGGGGAGCTCAACAATGCTGCTGGGTGCGGGAGGGAGCACACACAGGGGGACACAATGAGGCTCGATTCGTTTAGTTTGTTTTTTCCTAACCGGTCGAGCCGCAAACCTTAGCTCAATCCTGCCTAGGCAGCAGGAGATTCCTCGCTCCCCGTCAACCTTAGCTCAAACCCAGAAAACAATCCGTCCGTACACACTAAGTATAACGTCGGCAGTGAGTCCAACCAACCTAGCCTAGGCAAGCACCCACCCAGCCATGGTTGCCAACTTGCCAAAAGGTCAGCCCTGCTCCTCCAGCAAGTATAGATGGATCATGCACCCCACTGTCCCCACATGCCAACCTCGCAAATATCAATGGAATGGTGCCAGAGTTGGGGGGCCGAGGCGCCCCTAAGGTGTGCAACAGAAACTTCGTGCAATTTTTCTGTTGCTGTTTTGAGGGGAAACTGGAACTATTGTTCAGTAGGATTGGAGGAAGGAGAAGGCCACTAGTAGTAATTGTAATGCAATGGAGATGGAACATGTTGTGGGTTTCAATAGAGCCGAGGCATAAGACTTAAAAGTGTGAAGCGTTTTTGAAATTATCAGAGGGGCATGATTGAAGCATCCCTTCCCTCGTGATGCATGTTGCTTATGTTCAAGTTTTTACTTGTCAGAAAAGATAAAGCTTTTACGCTCAATGCGTATCTGCGAGAGCACGGGCGGAGAGCACGGGCGGAGCGCACGGGTGGAGCGCACGGACGGAGCGCACGGGCGGAGCGCACGGACGGAGCGCACAGGGGAGTCTCTGCTCTGGGCGGCCACTCCACTACCCTCACGGAACCACGTTTAGGCATCAACTCGCGGCGTTACTCCATGCGAGTGGGGAGCGATGCCACACTACGGCGCGGGCGGGTGGAAAGGAATCGTACCGGCAGCGGAGGCGGTGGAAAGGGCGAGGCAGAAAGCACGGCGACCGCTCGTGTCCCCCGCGCTGCTGCTGTCGTCGCGCGACGCCTCTCGCCGTGAATCGCTCGCCGCTGCTTCCGCGGCGTTAGGGAAGTACCCCACACTAAAACATGTAGCAGAAGGCGAAATAGTTGAGATATGAAGCAGGATATATGTTTCAAGTAAACATGCAGATTAAAAAAACACAGTAAACTCGTGATTCCACAATTCCTAATGACTTTAACGAGTATAACCTTCCAGTGACGTGCCCATCCATACTGATTTTCAAAATCGCATTCATTCACATTTCACATGTCTCAGGCTCGTCAGTGACTTCAGTGTAGTCTTCAACATGCAATCATGCTGTCAAAAATATGATTTTATCTGTTAGTACTATTTGGTCCGTGGTAATAGAACAAACGCGACCTTTCAAAGTCAGGGCGGAAATCGCTCAAGAATGATAAAACGGTGCGTACAATCTTTCAACTCAACAAATTGCTCGTATTCAGGATCATTTCGGCGGGAGTTTCATTTAGTTACCATTCGCGTGATCATTCGCCTGTGTCAAGCTACCAAACGCGTGAGACGAGTTACCAAACGCGTGAAAACATACCGTAATAGTTACTGTACGCGTTAAAGAGCCCCTTTTTTGTTACCATTGGCATACTTCCCCTTTAGTTGTAGCCTTTCACGTTTCCAGATTGCGTCACCCCTGCGTTTTCCGAACAAATTTGAAAATTTGAATTTGGCTTCTGTCGTTCAGCCGTGATTCATAAACGGACGTGTCCCCCACACTTGAATCATCAGACTCAAAATCCACCGCCATTACTAGTGTCATCGCCACTCCTCCCACTGCTTCCGCGATTAGTAACCCAGTCACAATCCGTGCGTCCCCACAGAGCATCTCCTTGAACCACCTCGACCTACGAGTAAGACTGGCGTCTCAGCATGATGCTGAAACAAAAACAAACGCAAGTCAAATGCAATAACAGCCAAAATGCAAGCCAGTTTCTACTGAATTTCCGCCAACAGTTCGCGGTGCCGCTTGTTCCCTAAAAAACGCGAAATCGCCTCTCCTAGATTTCACGCTCGCGGCGGTGCGACAGGAATGCGCCAAAATTGCACAATTTCTCACTGTAGTAGCTAGTATCGCGGGGAAGAATGGCTCCGGGCTGCTCCATCTGTTACGAGGAGTTTGTCGCGGAGGACTCGCTGCAAGTCGTCGTGGAATGCGGCCACGTGTTCCACTCCCATTGGTGCTGCCCCCGTCCGCTCCTTGCGCATCTCTCTCTCCACAACCGTTTCTCACGCTCCTTCCACTCTTATTTCGCCTTGACTCCCCCTTCCCACGCCTCTCATTTCACCCTGGGACATCAACTGAATTCTCACTCACACTGAACAAGAACCCCTTCTTGCGCCTAATCGCACACTCGCCTTAAACTTCACCCGAGCTCCATTCGAAACCTCCTGTTATTCCTCTTCCCCTCCCCCGCTCTTCCCAATTTCCTATTTCTCCCTCTTTGTCCGTCCAACAGCCTTCAGCAGTGGTTGGAGTGCAAACCCCGCAAGAGCTGCCCCTTCTGCCGTGGCGCGTGCTCGAAACGTGTCCTCCACGTGTTCCTCTCCGACATCTCTAGCGCGGACGCGGAACCGGAGCGGGGCGACGGCGCGGATGGCGCAGACGCGGGCCGCGCAGCCAAGCGGAGGAAGGTTGGGGAGGAGTCGGGAGCAGCGGGCGCGGGGGAGGGCGGGCGAGGTGACTCGGGCGGAGAGAGCGCGGCTGCTGCTGCCGCTACCGCTGCTGCGCTGAAGGTTAGTGATGGGGGAATGGGCGCAGACGGGGAGACGGGGAAGAAATAGAAAGGGCGAGGAGAGTGGGTAGGAAAACGATGGGGCGTGAGGGAGGGGGATGGGGGAGCGGAAGGGAGGGGGAGGGTGACTGGAGGGGGGGCGCGGAGAGCGGAAGGAGAGGGGGGGGGGAGAAGCGAGGGAGAGGACAGGAACGATGCAACAATGGCATAAGACGAGTAACAAGGGTTGTTGAGAACGCAGTTGCACATCTGGCATACGTGCCAAGCTATTCTCAGATGGGCTTGCTGAAATCGAATCCGTTCCCAGGTCACCACTTCCTTACTCTCACATTTTCCTCACTCTCCCTTTTACGCACTTTCCCCGTCCCCCACACTCCCTTTTCCTTACTCTCCCCTTTCCTCACTCTTCCCTTTCCTCGCTTCCCCTTTTCCTCACTCCCCTTTCCTCACTCCCCTTTCCTCACTCTCCCCTATCCCCACTCAACCCCTTCGCTCTCCTCTTTCCAATGTCTCTGACTCCGCATATTATCGCTCCCCCCCATTCCCCTTCCCCCTTTCCGTTTCCCCCCACTCCCCCGTGCGCCCGACTGCCCGCCCCCCTCCCCCCGTGCAGCGGCGTGTGCAGCATGCAGAGGCACAGGCTGCGGCGCTGAAGGCGTCACTGAGAGCAGAGCAGGTGGCGCTCACACAGCTCAAGGCAGAGGTGCGTGCGGGTTGGGTGGTGGGTGGTTGAGTGAGCTTGATGACTGGTTATTAGCATGGCACATGGCACATGGCACATGGCACATGACACATGACACATGGCACATGGCACATGGCACATGACACATGACACATGGCACATGGCACATGGCACCTGACACGTGACACACAGTACTTGGCACATGGATTGATATTGTCCGGAAATCTTCACCTCCCCACTCCCCCATTCTCCCACCTAACCGGTCCCCCCCGTCTCCTACACTTTCTCCTCTCACCCTGCACCTCGATTACCCTAACCTCTTTTCTCCCAAGCGCTTCCCAAACTCTTCCCAATCCCCACTCCCGTTCCCATCCCCTCCAACCCTCCATTCTCCCCCCGTCTCCTACCGCCTTGTCCTGCCTGCGCCACTCGCCATGCGGGGAAGCAGGCAGAGCGCAGCAAGCAGCGTGTGGGGGAGGCGGAGAGGGAGAGGGACGAGGCACGCGCAGCAGCGGTGGTGCAGAGGGCGGCGCATGCGCGGGAGAAGGAGCACCTGCTCGTGGCCGCCCACGTGCTGCGCGGGGTAGGGCGGGGGAGAGGGGGAGAGAAGGGGGAGAGGGGGAGAGAAGGGGGAGAGGGGGGAGATTGGGGGAGAGGGTGGAGAGGGGAGAGGGTGAGAGAGGGGAGAGAGAGGGGAGTGGGGGAGAAGGGGGAGAGGGGAGAGTGTGAGAGAGGGGAGAGAGGAGGGAGTGGGGGAGAGGGGGGAGAGGGGAGAGGGTGAGAGAGGGGAGAGAGGAGGGAGTGGGGGAGAGGGGGGAGAGGGGAGAGGGTGAGAGAGGGGAGAGAGGGGGGAGTGGGGGAGAGGGGGAGAGGGGGGAGCAGAAGGGGAGGGTGCAGTGGAGAGGATAGAAGGGGTGGGAGGGAAGTTGGAGGGGTGGCCTGGCAGGGGAAGCTGGATACAGCCTCCAAGGTTCAGATGGCAAGACGGTGATGGGAAAGGGCATAGGGGCAGAGGAGAGGCAGAGATGGCTGTTAAGGGGGATGCAAACGGTGGGGAGCGAAGAGGGAATGGAAAGGGATGATGAAAGTGGTGAAATGGTAGTGGGGAAACGGTTCAGGTGAAACGGAGTAAGTGCTGCAGGCAGGAAGACTTAGCAGCATACATGTGCTGTTTGGCTTCATCAACGAACCTGCCCTTGCTGTCTCTTATCTGTCACGCACCTATACTGAAACCCATTCATTCACTCATGCGCGCTCTCAGCCTCTCTCCACCCTCCCTGCCGCCCTCACCCTCTCTACCGCTCTCCGCGCTCTCGTCTCTCTTCTGTGCGTTATCCCTCGTGTGCCACACCACACGCCAGGAGCTGGATGCAAAGAGCAACGAGTGCAAGGCGCTGCAGGCGCAGCTGCAGCAAGCACAGTGCAGCGAGGCAGCCATGGCTCTGTACGTACCCACTCTCTTGCCGCCCTGCCTTCGTCTCCCCGCCTTGCCTTCCTTACGCTCCGTTTGCTTGGATAAGCTCTGGCACGTATTGTGGTTCTGCTATTGCAGTCTATCGATCTCCGTGCACTATCTATTGTGTACGTGCATGTGCATGTCTTCGTATCCCTGAGTCATCTTAGCCCAAGTGTGCATGTGCATGCCTCCTTCACCCGATCACGCTTGCTCACTTGCTTACACATCTGCATACAACACACGCTCACAACCACCCACCGTTCCTCACACCCATGTATCCGCACCCTCAGAAAAGGACCGCACCCTCAGAAAAGGTCTTTAAAGCCCCAATATCCCTCTCCTTTCCGACCCCTTCCTCCACCAACAGTTTCCAGCATGCAGCAGATAGAGCTGAGCAGGGAAGGGCTGCTCAAGATGGCTCGCATGACAGCACGCACAGCAGCCACAGACGCAGCCGTCGCGCTTGCCGCTGCTGTCAGCACCGACTTCAAAGCCCAAACAACGCTCTCCCCTCCAACCCTTCCCCCCCCGTTCCCCCCCACCCACACATGGCAGCATGCAGCAGATAGAGCTGAGCAAGGAAGGGCTGCTCAAGATGGCTCGCATGGCAGCAGGCGGAGCAGCCACAGACGCAGCCGCTGCTGTCGGTACCACCAGCACCAGTCGCATGGGCACAGGCATGGGCAGCAGCGGTGGTAGGGGCAAGCAGGGGAAGGGGAAACAGGCGTGGATGCTGGATGATGGAGGGGATGATGAGGGCAGAAATGGTGGCAGTGGTGACGGTGGTGGTAGCAGCAGTGATGCTGGTGTGATCTGCGTGCTGCAATACACGCTCATGGAGAGAAACAAGTACGGAGCACCTTGGCATGTTCTGGCAGTGCAGTGCAGTGCAGAGGGGTGCGCAGGGGTGATGCAGGGATGCATCATGCGCGCACGTTTCTTGCATTGCATGTGATGTCTCCTCATGCTGCTTCCCTTCCCACGACTCCCTCACTCGTTTCCCGTATCGCATCCCCCCTCTCTTTTCGTCTCGCATACTCTCCAGCCCGAGCCACGCTTCTCTGTTTCATCGCTTGTACATGTGGCGCCCCTCACTGCCTCGCAGTTCTGCACTCCCTCTCTTTCCTCTGCCTCCTCTCCCAACCCAAACTTCCCACCTCGTCCAGGCAGCACAAGGATCTTCACACCGATTTCTTTCTCAATTCGCCTCAAACTCCTCAGATTCCTCCACCTTGGCCCTCCCTCCCGGTCGCCGCCCCCTCGTCCTCTCTTCCCCCGCGCCCTCTCTTTCCCCCCACCATCTCAGGCAATACAAAGACCTTCTCACCAAGTTCTTTCATGAGGCGTCTCAAACGATTCTCCCGCCTCTATCCTTGCTTCCGCTCCTGTTTCCACCCTCTCTAACTCCCCCCCCCCTCCCCACCATCTCAGGCAGTACAGAGACCTTCTCACCAAGTTCTCGCGCCTCACCTCGCAGCACTCGCTGCTCGCCTCTACCAATGCCCGTCTCTCTTCCGTTGTGGCTAGACTGCAGGTATTGCTGGGAGGCTGCAGGTTTTTTTAATGCAGGTTTTTTTCAATGCTGCTAGTTTGCAGGTACTGCTAAGTCTGCAGGTACTGCTAAGTTTGCAGGTACTGCTAAGTCTGCAGGTACTGCTAAGTTTGCAGGTACTGCTAAGTCTGCAGGTACTGCTAAGTCTGCAGGTACTGCTAAGTCTGCAGGTACTGCTAAGTCTGCAGGTACTGCTAAGTCTGCAGGTACTGCTAAGTCTGCAGGTACTGCTAAGTCTGCAGGTACTGCTAAGTCTGCAGGTACTGCTAACACATGTGCATGGAACTCATCGTGGGTATTGCAACTTCCTTCGCAGCTGGATTTGACATTGTCAGCAATTTCTTGAGGTCCCTGTTCGCCTCCCTCCTTCCTCTTGCGTATCGAGCTGCTTCAGTGTTTCCCTTAATAGAGCACTGCTGAGCGTAGAGAACGTCTCATGGCTCAAAATCGCGTCGCATAGCTCACATGATATGAAATCATGGTGATTTTTATGGTCATAGTGTCTCACTACAACGTGCAAAACACCAACGCCAGCTCCTCTCCCCTCTCACTCCCCTCCCCTCTTCTCCCCTCTCCTCCCATGTGTGTGCCGTAGGCCCAGATGTCCCAGCTCAAGGCCAACGCTAACCCCTCTGCCACCACCCCGCCTCGCGTGTTTTGAGTCAACTCAAAACTCTCCTCCTCTCCCCTCTCCTCTCCTCCCATGTGTGTGCCGTAGGCCCAGATGACCCATCTCAAGGCCAACGCCACCTCCTCTGCCACCACCCCGCCTCGCTCCTCTCGCACTCCTGCCCCTGCCGCTACCCCTGCCTCTGGTTCAGGTGGTGGTGGTGCTGCCGCTGCTGTTGCATCGGCTCGCGTCCCTCCCCGCGCCCCTGCCCCTTGTGTGATTGTAGGAGGGGCGTTGCAGGGGGTGCCAGGCCTTCATAAGAAGTGCATGCAAGCAGGGGCGACGCGGGTTGAAGAGGGGAGGGAGAAGGGAAGAGGAGGAACAGGGGAGAAGGAAGAGGAAAGGCGGGGAAAGGAAGGAGTGGTCAGTGGTAAGAGAGGAGTTGCTGGGAAAGGAAGCGGCAGAGATGGTGTTCCTGATTCTGTTCCTGCTGCTCCTGCTGCTCCTGCCGCTACTGCTGCTCATGCTTCTTCTGCTGCTCCTGCTGCGCCTGCTCCTGCTCCTCCTTCTGCTACTCCTGCTCCTGCTGCTGCTGTGGGTGCTGCTGCTAATGTGGCTGCTCAGGCCGATCTTCTTTCAAGAAAAGGAGAGGAGAGACGGCAGCAGGGAGGCAGAGAGGGCAGGGCCACAGAGGAAGCAGGGCAGGGGGAGGGATGTGAAGAGGTGAGGAGGGCGAGCTGTGTGCTGTCACCGTTTCCCGTGCGATCCAGGAAGACGGCAGCAAAGGGAGCAGTGCAGCAGCATGCCCAAGAAGCACAGCTCGAGTCACAGTTACCCGCGGTGCAGCCTGTTTCGCAGGCGGCGCCACACGTGCATGTGAACAATCCTGATCCTCCGCAAGGAGGGAGAAGTGTTGAGGGGAGGGTGCGGGGTGGTGAGGTGGGGGAGGAAGGCGAGGCTGCTGGCGCATGCAGTGGTGTGTCCCGAGGGCGAGAGGGACCAGTTTTTGAGTCGACTCGGAAATCGGCTGGTGGAGCATGTAGTGGTGTGTCCAGAGGGCGAGAGGGGCCAGGAGGAGTGCACGGGGGGCAGCGTGCAGAGAAAGATGTGATATGCTTAGATGATGACGATGAGGAGGAGGAGAAGAAGGCATATGAAGAGGCATGTGGGGTGGCAAGTGAAGTGGCATGTGAGGAGGAGGCATGTGAGGAGGAAGAGGAGGGTGAGGGCGAGGAGGATGATTTCCTGGAAGGGTTGCTGCATGCTGCTGATGACCTCGCCCCCCCTGCACGCACTGTTCCTGCTGCCATGGCCACCGGACGGGCACCCGCAGCAACAGCAAAGGTGACAGCTGCAGCAGACAGAGTAGTAGCAGGAGGAGGAGGAGGAGGAGGAGGAGCGGAAGCAGCAGCCGCAGCAGGAGCAGGAGCAGGAGCAGCAGTGAGAGCGTCAGCACCCCCCGGCTGTGTAGGCGAGGTGGAGGGCGAAGGGCGGAGAGGAGGAGGTGTGGCAGGTGTGACGGAAGGGAGAGGAGGAGAGCGGGCAGGTGCAAGAGAGGGGCATGTGGAACAAGTCTGCGATGCTGGTGCGGCGGGCAGGGGAGAACGGGGGGAGGAGGATGAAAAGGGCAGGCGAGGGGAGGTGGAGAGTGAGTGGGGAGAGGATTGGATGCAAGGGGAGGAGTATGGTGATGGGCACGAGCAGATGGAGCCACCGCTGTCACATTCAGGTAAGCAATGGGTGAACTGGCAGGGTGAATCAGCAGGTGAATCAGCAGGTGAATTAGCAGGTGAATCAGCAGGTGAAACAACAGGTGGCTGCTTTCTCTCTTGAACGGTTGTTCGTGTCGTGGATCGATTGGCGTGCAATGTTGCTACTCGTTCCTGAATGCTCCTCTGTACAATGTACAAGTCCTGGAATGCCCTGCTTTGGTGCCGTGCTTTGTTACATACAGTAGTCTGTGCCACGCTTCTCTCAGATCTTGCTGACCTGCCACTCTACCTGCTCTTGCTGCTTACTCATCCCGCACCATTTAGCATGCCATATTTCTGTTCGCTCCTGATAATCCTGCATATTCATTCCCTTCTCTCTTTCTCCCCTGCCCTCTTTTCCCCACTTCCCAACCGTGCCTCCTTTTTCTCCACTGCAGCCCTCCCAGCCCCACAGTTCTCTCGCCTCGCACACTCCTCCCTCCCCTCTCTCAAGCGCCACAAGCCACAACCCGCCTTCCTCCCCTCAGCCCGCGCTGTAACCCTCTCAAACGGCCCTCAATACCTTAATAATAGCAATATTCAGCAGCAGCAGGTGCAGCAGGGAGGGCATTCAAGGGGGCAGGTGCATGTGCATGTGTCGGGACGCAAGGCTGCTTTTATGCTGGCTCCGAAGCATCTTCCTGGCATGAACGACCCGTGCGTGTATGCAGCTCCTGTGCACAATGCTGCTGGTAATAAGAGCAACACCAGCAGCGGTGGCACCTCACACACTGCTGCCGCCATTGCACCTGCTGCTACTGCCAATGGTATCGCCACTGCCACAGCCGCTGCTGCTGCTGGTGGTACTGGTGCTGCTGCTGCCACTGACTCTGCTGCTGCTGCTGCTGCTGCTGCTGCTACTGGTGGTACTGGTACTGGTACTGGGGCAGGCATAAGACCAGAGGCGAGGACAGACACAGGGCTGGAGACAGGAGCAGGGATGGAAGCATGTCCCACTAGCAGTCTACACAGCCAACACCTGGCATCTGCGTGCACCTCTTTGCCCTCGTGTGCTTCGCCTCCCCGTCCATCTCTCTCCGCTGCTCCTCTCGTGGCCATGGGTCCTGACGGCAGGGGTGGGGTGCAACGGGTGCTCAAGCTAAGCAGCAGCGAGGTGAGTGGTCTCAAGAGAGAGAGAGAGAGAGTTACACTGTTGTTCAGAGCGCTGTCGTTATCGGTGCTGCTTGTGCATTGAATTATCAACTGATGTCTTGTGGTCTGGAAAATTATGCTGCACTTATGGTACATGTGGTAATTGGTGCATATGCAAACCGTGCTCCTCAGCCCTCTTTTCGCCCATTTCATTTCCCTGCTGCCGCCCTCTATCCTCCAGCCATCACGGGCCACACTTCCTGCCAAGCGGAAGCTGGTAAAGAACAAGGCACAAGCAGGAGCAGCAAGAGGGAAGGACATGCACCGCATAGATGGGTACTTCAGCCGGCAACAATGACAGACGGAATGGGAATGCCGGAGAAGGTTCACCACACAGCAACCCAGCAAGCGTAAGCTGATAAAGGGCAAGGCACAAGCAGGAGCAGCAAGAGGGAAGGACATGCACCGCATTGATGGGTACTTCAGCCGGCAACAATGATGGACCGGAATGGTGGTACGGTAAATGCGGGAGAAGGTCCAGCTGGGATAGGCAAGCAGCACCTCCAGATACCTAGGAGTAACAGACGAGTAGGAGGTTGGGGGTATGGTACTATGGTGTCTTATTGTTGTAGCTGAAGTGTTTGTGGGGGTGGTACCTTGGCCCATGCTTTCGAGCACTCTTCTAAATCGAAAAGGAAAGAAAAATGCTGCATGGAGCATACACAGGAGGTGAGGTTTTGAGTCTTGCTTGCAGAAATTATATTATTTTAGAAATTAATATATTATAGAGGGGGAGATGAGCAAAATACGATGCCAACCTGCAGTGTATTGTCAACTTCAACAAAAACTCGGCAGGAGGCGATTATTTCCGTCACGTCACGCGGGCCCACACGCGACCAGTTACCACGCACCTTCCGGGCCCAAGCGAGAAATCCCAGCCCATTCCACGCACCGCATTCTCGAATTCTCGCCTCCACTGCCGCCGCCAGCATGCACGTGCCCCACCCCCACCATGGTCCCCCCTCCGGCCACGCAAGCCGCGTCGCCTCGTGCCCTCGGCGGCATTCCCAAGGCCCTCCGCCACTCCCCTCTTCCCTTCCCCCAATCCATCATCCCCGCTGCGCCGCGGATCCGCGGAGAAAGAAGAGATCTCTCCGCGGGAACGCTTGTCACCAGCGAACTTTCCGGGGGAGGGGGTGGGAGGAAATCGTTGCAGCGCAAGTCAAGATGAGCAAGTGTGTTGAGGCGCAAACGCGGAACGAACGAACGACCGGACCGCTCGCCATCTTCCCGCGGGTTACCTTGCGCCCCACGGGCGCGTGGGTGCGTTGCGTCTTGGGGCTGGAATGGAATGTGTGTGTCCAGTCCATCCCGCGCAGGCTCCGCGCAGGCTCCGTGCTGTGCGTGTGGGTTTGCTGCTTTCGGTTTCGACTGAAGAAAAGGCCCGAGTGCCTTCCTGCTTCGGTTGCACATATCAGATCTAGTAGTGAAGGCGTTCGAGCAGGCTTACTCGGTCCTTAGGAGACAATCACCGTCGCCGCCGCCGCCGTCAGCATGTCGAGGCGTTTCGCTCGAGCCGCGGCTTCGCCATTTCGAGCCTGCCTCTGTCGCGTACCTCTGCTTTCCCGCCAACCCCTCAGCACGTGCAACCACCCACCACTCGTCCCTCTTTACTGCACCCCGTGCTCGTCGCCCCTCGCTACAATCACACCCAGCGCGTCACTCCACGCTTACACGATAAACCCCTCGGTACACAACAGCCTCACCACGAGATCCGTTCCGCCGTTACAATCACTCTCCAAGTCCGGTCTTTTGGGAAACGCTCGCGATCCGAACGCGCCTAAGGCCCAGCCGCGGCGGTATGAGGCACCTGCGGTGCGTGTAGCACCCGTTTCGCTGAGCCATCGCCACTGGCAGGGGCAGCAGCAGGGGCAGCGGCAGGGGCAGTGGCAGGGGCACGGGGAGCGGAAGGAGCAGGGGGGATTGCAGCAGCGGGAGCAGCGGCGGTGGGTGACGTACATGCCGCGGCCAGGGGAGAGCGCCCCGCGCACGGTGACACTGCTGCCTGGGGATGGCATTGGCCCGCTCGTTGCTGACGCCGTAGTGCAGGTGCGTGTGTGATGCTGCTGCTGTGGCAGGCACTCCTCTGACCTACCTGCTGTGATCCGAGTTTCTGAGCTTTCCACAGCTGTCCAGATCTTGCGTTTCCACCCGACCTCTTAATCCCCTCTCCCCTTTCCCCCTCCTCCTCCTCCCCGTTTCCCCTAAATGTGCATGCCCCGCGCTCGCTGCCCCTCCCAGGTGCTCGCATTCATGCACACAGCGGTGCAGGTCGAGTTGTCCTTTTTTAAGTCAACTCAGAAACTCGGATCACTGTGTCCCCAGTGTCCCCCTCTTCCCCATTCCCCGTCTTCCCCTTTTGCGTGCATGTGTCCCCCTCTCCCTCCCAGGTGCTGGCGGCCATGCGGGCACCGGTGCAGTTTGAGGTGTGTGAGATCAGTGGCAGGATGCCGCGCCTGCCTGCAGAAGTGCTGGACTCGCTGCACCGCAACGGCGTTGGGCTCAAGGGCGGCCTCGCCACTCCTGTGAGTGCTCTGCCTGGTCTGCGCCTGTGAGTGCAGTGCGACTTGCACGCCCATATCTGAGCCGGCTCTATGATAAGACGTGCTGGACTCGCTGCACCGCAACGGCGTTGGGCTCAAAGGCGGCCTCGCCACGCCTGTGAGTGCTCTGCTCTGTGCCTTGCAGCCGTGCAGGCGTGCAGGCGTGCAGGCGTGCAGGCGTGCAGGCGAGTTGTTGATTCAACTCGAAAGGCACACGTGCTGTGACTCGTTGTTGCACTGCAATGGTGTCACCCCTGTGAGTGCGCTGTTCTCTGTGCCTTGCCACGCCTCTGTGACGGAGCAGCAGGTTCTCACGCACCCCTCCATGCCGCCGCACCTGCTTCCTCCTGCCACTGAAACATCACAACGCTGGCTAGAAAGGACCAGCTTTGATCCCAATGCTGTCGTTGTTGCAAAAACACCACTCCTCTCGCCACCGCTGTGCCAGTCAGCGGGGGACAAGACAAGTATGCTTTGAGAACCAATGCTGACACGCCTCTGAGACGAACCATGTCAGGAGGACGTTTTGGGCGCCTCAGAAGTTTGACAGAAGGCTGTCTCACCTCACCCTGCTCTGGATGTTACTGAGTGACCTCCGCCTCTGGTCCTCGCCACCACCCTGCAGGTGGGCGGCGGCGTGAGCTCCCTCAACATGCGTCTGCGCCAAGAGCTAGACGTCTTCGCCAGCCTCGTATTCTGCCACGACATACCCATCATCGCCACTGCACGCCCGCACCACTCCCACCACCGGTGTCCTCCTTTCCTCTCCTCCTCCCCTCCCCCTGCGTGCAGGTGGGCGGCGGCGTGAGCTCCCTCAACATGCGTCTGCGTCAGGAGCTAGACCTCTTCGCCAACCTCGTCTTCTGCCACGACATTCCCATCGCCACCAAACGCCCACACCACCACCACAGCCCCTCCACCACACCTCCCTCTCTCACCCACACCCACGCCGACGCCCGCGCCAACGGCGATGAAAGTTCACATGAGGGGGCCGAAAGCCCTGGTGGGGAACTGGGGGCGGGGGCAGGGGCGGGGGAGCAGGGGCAGGGGCACGCGCGAAGGGACGTGGCGGAAGCGCTGCGGCGGCGGCCGCGGGGGGTAAACATAGTGGTGGTGCGGGAGAACACGGAGGGCGAGTACAGCGGGCTGGAGCATGAAGTGGTGCCGGGCGTTGTTGAGTCCCTCAAGGTATGCTTGCGTCCCTCAAGGTAACTCTCTTGAGGCGAATCAGAAGGCACCGGCGGGGAGGAAGGGGGGGGGGGGTGGGGGGGGGGCTGGGGGAGAGGGGGTGAACATAGTGGTGGTGCGGGAGAACACGGAGGGCGAGTACAGCGGGCTGGAGCACGAGGTGGTGCCAGGTGTGGTCGAGTCCCTCAAGGTATGCGCCAGCCCCTCTCTTAGGAACTGACCTCTGTGCTCCTTCCTCATCAAAACGTCTGGTTCGTCTGGTTAACTCATATGGTTCCCCTGTGTTGTGTTCCTCCTTGGTTCCCTTTGTTTTCTCTAGGTTCGTTTATCTTCAGTTCTACGAATGCACGTTCATTTAACTGCCTGCCGCTAATCTGTTTACTGCGACATGGATTTGCCGTTCATTCAGTCACACACATAGTGCTGTTCTTGGTCACCTTACCTCTCCAGAGTTCTCTTCCCTGATGCAATCCCTTCCCTGCTTATTCTTGCACCTTCGGTGTCCCCTATCCTTTCCCCTACTCCTTCCCCTCCCCTTCCTCCCCCCCCAATCCCCCTCCACCTCCCCGTCTCCGTCCCCCTCCCCCTCCCCCCTCATCCCCACCATCCTCCCCCTCCCCCTCTCCCCCCCCCACCCCCTCCCTCTCCCCGTCTCCCACCCCAGGTGGTGAGCAAGTTCTGTTCAGAGCGCATAGCGCGCTACGCCTTCCAGTACGCGTACCTCAACGGGCGCCGGGCAGTCACGGCGGTGCACAAGGCCAACGTCATGAAGGTGTCAGATGGACTCTTCCTTGACTCCTGCCGCCAGGTGGGAAAGCCAAGCCAGCGCGCCCTGAGGTGAGGGCCGTGAGGTGCCTCGAACTAGCTAGCTGGGCAGTCACGGCGGTGCACAAGGCCAACGTTGTGAAGGTCTCTGACGGACTCTTCCTTGACTCCTGCCGCCAGGTGCGAGTGCTTTAAGGGCTCGGAGGGCTCGGAGGGTTCTGAAGGCTTTGTTGGCTTTGAGGTGCATGGTCAGTTCGTATGGTGAGCCATCTTAGAGTATAGTGTCATGCTGAGCTGCCGTGCTGTGAAACACCCCTTTCCCCATCCCCTTCTTGCCCTGCCACATTTCCCGTGTAGTCCCCGTCGCCCTTCCTTGCTTCCCTTCCGTTGCAGGGTATTTTTGAGAATTTTCAAACTACCCCGCTACACGTCACGTTGTTGTGGGGCAGGTGGCGCAGGGATACCCCCAGCTGCGCTACAGCGAGCTCATCGTGGACAACTGCTTCTGAGCCGACTTCAACTCATCCCCTTCCACCCCATTCCCCTTCCTGCCTCCTCCCTCCTCCGCTTGTTGTGTTGCTGTGTGGCAGGTGGCACAGTCATACCCCCACCTGCGCTACAGTGAGATCATCGTGGACAACTTCTTATCGACTCACAATTCACCCTCCTGCACCTCATGCCCCCCTGCCACCCTCCCATCTACCGTGCATTGGAGTGGGCAGGTGGCTCAATCATACCCCCACCTGCGCTACAGTGAGATCATCGTGGACAACTTCTTGTGAGCCCACTCAGAGCTCACCCCCTTCCACCCTGCTTCTCCCTCCTCCCGCCTGCGGTTGTTATGTTGCTGTGTGACAGGTGGCGCAGGCATACCCGCAGCTGCGCTACAGCGAGGTCATCGTGGACAACTGCTGCATGCAGCTCGTGCGCCGCCCCCAGCAGTTCGACGTCATGGTGCGTGCGGTGCAGGGTGGTGGCATGTGGGGTGGTGGCATGTGGGGGTAGGGTGGGCAATGGGGAGGGGTGGTTGGTGGATTGGGTGTTGTGGGGTGGAATGGTTGGTAGGGTGGGCTGATGACACCAGTGGCAGTGCATTGGCGAAAGGACCATGGAGTAAGGAGTGGAGGGAGGGGATATTGGGGAGGGAGGGATGGTCAGGGTGGTTGATACTGGAATAATGATTGGATGATGGTTTCGAAAGGATTGTTTGAGTTGGTTTGATTGTGCACCGGAAGTATTTCATGAGGTGAGACTGGGATGCTTGGTGTCATCACTTGCCTGTTCCGCTCGGTGTGATTCGAGTTGGCGGGGAAGTGTGTTGTGTTTTGCTGTGTCGTGTGTACAGGGTTGCCTGGATGGATGGATGTATGGGTGGGTGGGTGGGGTGCCTCTGTGTGTGCGCATGTGCTTGTGTTGAGTGTACATGTGGGTGCATGTGTGTGCATGCGCATGCACGTTGGAGTGTCACACCTCTCCCCCCTCCACCCCCGTGCACCAGGTGACGCCCAATCTGTACGGCTCGCTGGTGGCCAACACAGCAGCAGGCATCTGTGGCGGCTCCTATCTCATGCCCGGAGGTACTGCATCTGGGATGGCACCGAGATGGAAACTGAGCATTGGGGTGGCCATCGCCAGAGGGCATTGCAGAGGGCATCGCAAAGAAAATCGCAGAGGGCAACTTGTCGGCATGTTTTCAACATAACACCTCCTCCACCCCACCTTCCCCCAACCCCCCGCCCCCTCCCTGTCGTTGCATCTCCGCATACCACCTCCCTCCAACATCCCTCTCACCTTCCCCACCTCCCCCGCTCTGACTTTTACCCTCCTCCCCGTCTCACCCCTTCCCCCATCTCTCCCTGTCCCACCCCTTCCCCCACCCCCTCCCCCCCCCTGCCAGGCAACGTCGGCGACAACGCAGCGGTCTTCGAGCAGGGCGCATCAGCAGGCAACGTGGGCAACGAGCGCATGGTATCAGAGCGCACGGCGAACCCCACAGCGCTGCTCCTGTCAGCAGCCATGATGCTGCACCACCTGCACCTGCCTGTCTTTGCTGACCGAGTGGAGGGGGCAGTGAAGGGCGTGCTGGCAGAGGGGGCCGTGCTCACTCCCGATATGGGGGGTAGGGCCACGACGCAGGATATGGTTGATGCGATTGTGGATAAGCTGGGGTAGGGGTGAGGGTTGAGTGGTTGAGGAGTAGGGAAGGGAGGGAGCTGCTGCTGAACCTCTCTGGTGCATATTGCACAAATAGCACTGAAGGCCTCGCATACTTCTCATTTGGTTTACCTGTGGCTCTTCCAGCAATCGTTTCTAAACACTACACAGATGTTGCATGCTTGTACTGTACTATAGTTCATCTGTTTGGACAACTGTGCAACAGATAAATTACCATATCGCTCATGAACCGTCAATTCACATCCTACAACTTCCTTCACTTCGTGCAAATGCCACACCAGAAGCACTTGATTGAAAATTCTCAAAGGAACTCCCGCCTCTTTCCACCCATGCAACCACCTAACCCCACGCTAGCCCACCACAAATCCACGCAGCCTCCCATCTTGCCCTTCCGGGCATAGCAACAGCGTTCTTCACTCGTTCTTCACTGCTCAGCTCCGCTCCATCTGTGTCTGTCTGCTCTTACTTTGGCAAGAAACCCTCTGCTCCGCTCCATCTGTGCCATCTCCGTGAACAGCCGCGGCATTCTCTTGGACACCTGCACTCATCCCCTCTGCTCCATCAACCCGTCAACCCGTCAACCTGTCAGTGCATCACTCAACAGAGCCTTCCTGCTTGCCCCCTTCACTTTCTTCTTCTTGGATTTCGACACGCTCTTCTTCTCCCTCTTCTCCAACACCCCACCACCAACGCCACCGTCAGTACCTTCCATCACATCCCCTTTTGCTCCATCCGCTCCATCTGCTCCTTCCCCACCTTGTGCCCCGTCTGCTCCTTGTCCTCCGCCTGTCTCATCTGACTCCCCCATACCTGCCGCTGCCACCTGCTCTTTTGACTTCACACCCCCCCCTTCCCCTTCCAACCTCACTCCCTTCACCCCTGTCCCTCCTTTCTCCTCCACACGTTCCACCTCACTCAACCCCTCTGAAGATCCTCCCACTTTCTTCGCCTTCGTCTTGCCTTTCTTTACCTTTGACTTCCTCTTCCCCTTACCCGTCTTCCCGATTTCCCCTTCCTCCACTTCATCCCCACCCGTTTCCTCCTTCCCACCACTCTCCTGCTGCTCGCCCACCTCATTTCCTGTCCTCCTCATCTCCCCTGCTGCCTCCCCGCCTGCCCCAGCGTTCCCATCCTTAGTCTTCACCACGCCTGTCTTCTCATCCTTGCTCGCTGCTTCGCCTCCTTCCTCTGCATCTTCTCCCACTTTCTTCCGCACCACAACTCCCTCGCGCCCTCCGCCCCCCACTCCACCGCCTTCAACCCCACCAACACCAGCAGACACCCCACCCTTCCCGCCTTTACGTGCCCCTGAATCCGCACCCGAACGTGCATCTGCTGCACCATGTGCACGTGCATCTGGGGCAGTATCATTCGCCTGCCCCACCTTATCAGGCACAGCCATTAGGTCCTCTCCCTCCTGCACCACGCTCCCTTCCGCTGCCAGCGTTGCCGCCGCGCTCCCCACCGCCTCTTCTGTACCTGCTGGAGTTGCTGTCTTGTTGCCTGCTGCCTCTGCAGATACATCCTCCCACTCCCTCTCCACCACCTCAGGCTCACTCCTCCTCTCTGTTGTGCCGCTGCTAACGATGCTACTCTTGCTGCTGGTACGATGGGTATCGCCACTTGCAGGCGTAACATCACCAGTTGCAAGCGTAACATCACCAGTTGCATTGCCAATTTCAGCCGCCAATTGAACATCTGCTGATCGCTTCGCTTCATCACCGTCACCTGCCAAAGCCGGCACGCTCTTGGCCTTGCTCTTCCTCCCCTTCTCCCCATTCACCTCCTCCTTCTCCCCCTCCTCCTCCACCTCCTCTTCCCTGCTTTTCTTGCCCACACTTTTCACATCCTTTCTTTGCAAGCTCTTCTTCTCTTTCACCCCTCCCTTCTCCTTATCTCCCTCCTTCTCCTTATCCTCCTCCTTTGCATCCTCTTTAGTATTCACCCTGCTCTGCCTCTTCCCCGCCTCATCCCCATCACCCCCACCATCCGCCTTAGCCTCCTCACCATCAGCCCTCTCCAACCCATCTTCATCTCCAGCAACGGAACGAATCCCCTTCCCTAAACCATCACCACCATCATCAGCTCCATCCCTTCCCTTCCCTCGCTTCTCCACCTCCTTCTCCTCCACCTCCTCCTCCTCCTTCCCCTCCCCCTCCTCCAGCTTGCCTGCAGCACTACCTGTCTTCCCCTTCACTGCCACTCCCTGAACCTTGTTCTTGCTCTTACTCTTACTCTTGCTTTTGGTCTGCTTCAACCCTTCTCCGTCTCCCCCCTCACTCAGCCCATCACCATCATCATCACTCCCCTCACCGTTCTTCCCATCACTCTCCACCTCCTCCCCGCCCGGCTCACCTTGCTCTGCCTCTCCCTCACCATCACCTCCCCCATCAGCTTTCCTCACCTTCTCCCTGCCCACAGCATTTGCCACATGCTTACTTGCACCCCCTTCACTCTCACCTTCCTCCTCCTCACCATCCTTCGCACCATCCTCCCCATTTGCTACTTTCTTCGCCTTCCCTTCACCCCTTTCCTTCACTCCTTTGCCCTCTGCTTTTCCCTCCGCTTCCCCCTCCGCTTCCCCTTCCACTTCCTCTTCCGTTTTCCCCTTTGCTTTTCCTTCCGCCTTCCTCTTCACCACCTTCCCTGCATCACTCTCCGGTGGTCCATTCCCATAAGTCCCTGCAACACCTTTCCCCCCTCCTCCTCCACCCGCCCCTTCAACCACCTCCTCTCTCTCCCCTTCCTTCTCTTTCTCCCCCACAATGGCCAGTGTTTCCTTAGTATCCTCTGAAGCATCTTCCTTCTCCTTCTTCTTCTCCCGCTTCTTCTCCTCCTCATCCTCCTCCTCCTTCTCATTTTCTTTCACAATACCCGATTCTCCTTCTGCTGCTGCGCCTTCCTTGCCGTGTCCTTTTCCCGGGCCATGCACCTTCTTCTTTGCCTTCTTTTTCTCCTCACGTGCCACTTCCTCCTCCTCTCCTTCCCCCACTTCCTCCCCTGCCTCCTCCCCTTGCTCCTCCTCCTCCTCCTCCTCCACCGCCTCCTCCTCCTCCCCCTTCCCGTTTGCCAACTCTTCTCCCTTTTCACGCCCTGCACCCTTCCGCGCTTTCCCACTACCCTCGCGCCTGCCAGCCTCCCCTTCTTCTCCCGGCTCTGCGCCCTCCTTCACCCCAGCCCGCAGAGAGCCGCTACCTCCCTGCTCCTCCTCCCCATCATCACTCTTCCGCTTCTTCACATGACTCTCCTTACCCTTAGCATCAACATCAACATCAGCATCAGCATCAGCATCCGCAACACCCTCACCCTCACCCTCACCCTCACCACCATCTTCGGCCTCCTTGATCCCCTCCTTCGCCTTCCCCTTGTCCTTCTTCGTGCGTGCTTTCACCTTGATATCCCCTGCCTCTCCTTCCTCCCCTTCCGACTCTCCCTCTTCCCCTCCTGCCCCATCATCCCCACCAGAGCCTCCTGTCATCATCACCTCCTTCCCTGCACCCCGCCCCCTCTCCACAGCGTCTCCTTTTGTCTCCTTCCCCTTGCTCTTCCTTCCTTTGCTCCTCGCTCCAACTTCCACTCCTCCCTCTCCTCCCTTCCCTCCCTCCCCTCCCTCCTCCCCCTCCTCTCCCTCCTCTGCCTCCGCCTCTTCCTCCTCCTCCTCATCCACAGGGTCAGCACCCACTGTCTCTTCGGCATCTGCCACCACCACTGGCTTCTTGCTCACAGGAATATGCGTCATTATCACGCCTGGTTCAATCACTACCCTCTCCTCCTCTGCTTCCTCTGCACTTCCCTCCCCTTCTCCGCTCCTTTCTCCCTCCCCTTCCTTACCCTTCTGCGCTCCATCCCCACTCTCTTCGTCTTCACCCCTCTCACCCACGCCCTTACCCGCCTGCTTCGTCCTTGTCCTTCCCGTCTTCCCGTCTCCCGCTGCCACCCTCTCCTTCGTTACTCCATCACCAATCACACTCTTCTTCGCCCCTTTCTTAGCTTTCTGCACCGTCCGTTCTGCTATCCCCACCCCCTCCTCTTCAGCAGCTTCATCCCCTCTCTCCCCATCCTCTTCTCCTCCAGTCACGGTCGGCTCATCCTCCTCACCCGCCTCAGCGCTTTCACTCTCAACATCTTTCCCAGCCTTTCTCCCCTTTGTCCCCTTAGTCTTCTCCGTCCCACTCTTCCCTTTCTTTGTAACCATCTCTTTTCCAAGTCCCTTCTCACCCTCCTCGTTCTCCGCCCCTGCACCCTCATCATCCTCCCCCACATCCCGCTCGCCACTCCTGCTCGTCTCCTCCTCGCCTCTCTTCGTCTTCCTAACCAGCTTCTTCTCAGTCTTGCCCCCATCCTCATCGTCTTCCTCTCCCTCCTCTTCCCCCTCCTTTTCACCCTCCAGGACAGCCGTGTCCCCACCTTCTCTCCGTCTCTTCCCCTTTCGTCCTCCCTTTCCTACCGCTATCCCTCTCTGCACTCCACCCTCCGTTTCCTCACTCGCTTCAACCGTTTCTGCACGCTCCCCACCGTCCACCTCACCCGCACCCTCATCGCTCCCCTCTGCTGCACCGTCCCCATCTGCTTCACCTGCTGTCTCTTCAATATTCGCATACCTCAAACTGCTCTTCCCACCCTTCCCACCCTTCCCACGCTTCCCGCTCTTCCCACTCGTCTCACTCTTCCTGCTTGCCTTCTTTCTTTCCTCGCCCTTTTCCACACCCGTCATATCATCCTCATCCGCGCCCTCCTCCCCCTCTTGCGAGTCGACTCTGCCCTTCCTCCCTTCGCCAGCAGCAGCAGCAGCAGCACCGTCATCAACCTCATCATCACCAGTAGCACCACCAGCATCACCAGCACCAACAGCACCAGCAGCGACCTCGTTCCCTTCCCCCTCCACTACCCGCTTCCCTCTCCCCTTCATCGCGCCCTCCTCCCTTCCTTCCACCCCCTCTCCTTCCCCGCCTCCCAGTTGCGCCATCAGAATCTCCTCCGCCTCCTCCGCCCCTCCATCACCCCCCCGCTCTGCATCTCCGCCCACCAATGCCTCCCCCTTCCTTTCCGCCGCTCCTTCAACCCTTTGCTCGTCTACCTCGTCCTTCCGCCCTCCGCCCTCTCTTTCCAGCAGTCGGTTCAGTTCCCTCTCCTCCTCCACAATATCATCCACCTCCCCGCCCTCCCCGCCCTCCCCGCCCTCTCCGCCCTCTCCGCCCTCCCCGCCCTCAGCGCCCTCCCCTTCACCCGCAACCCCCGCTTCCCCCTCCCCTTCCTCCCCCACATCAGACAGCCTAACGGTGCCCTCTCCAGCTTCCCCCTCCCCTCGGCTGCCTAACTCATCCCCACCACCACTCGCCTCCATTGCTCCCTGCTGCTCACGGCCCTGCTCTTCCCCTTCCGCTCTTGCCCTCTTACCCCCACCTTCCATCTCTTTCTCCTGCTCCTGCTGCGGCTGCTGCTGCTCCTGCTGCGGCTGCTGATGTCCCTCCTCTTGCGGCGGCTGCTGCTCAAGAACCGGATCAACAGCCGGGCCGTCACTGCCACTCCCACCGCCAGCTACAGCAGTTCCAGCAGCAGCACTGGAGGCAGCAGGATCCGCAGGGGGTGAATCAACCGCATAGAAATTCGCAGCATCAGCCGCAACAGCAGCGGCGGCAGCAGAAGCGTGAGCAGCAGCAGGGTCCGCAGAGGTAGGAGTAGCAGTAGCAGCAGGTGGTTCAATGTTAGCCATACGCGTGACTGCCTCTGCTTGCTCGCCCCCATACTCCCCACTCGCACCTCCTCCTCCCTCCCCGCCCGCTCTCATCACTTGCTCACCAGCAGCAGCAGCATCACCACCACTACTCTTGCTGCTGCTACTGCCGCTGCTGGTGCCGCCATCAGCGTTACCTACAAGCAGCAGAGGCACAGGCGGTTTCCACCCAGCAGGCCCAAGCACGGTAGAGTAAAGCTCAAACCCCCCCACAATCAACGCAAACAGCACCACCACCACACACACACCGCTCCACACGCGCACACTACCGCACACGCCCCCCCACCCTCCCCCACTGCTTCCCCCGCCACCCGGCCCGCTCACGCTCCCCCCTCGCCCGCCCCTCTCCACGTCTCTAACTGGCGACATGCTACCCCAGCCATCCCCACCATCAGCAGGAATGTCATCCCAATCCGGATCCCATCCCCCCCCGTCATTATCTGCTTTACTGCCTCTCCCTGACCCCCCGCCAGCACGAGAAGCAGAAGCAGCAGCAACGGCGTCTGGTTTGGGTTCGAGGGGAGGATTCCCCCTGGTGAGAACCGTACGGGTGGGCCGGCCTCTGCCGCTGCTGCTGTGGGTACTGCTGTGCGCGCTGGAGCGGGATGAATCCGCAGCAGCAGCAGCACTAGCAGCAGCGGCGGCGGCGGGTGCATTTGTGAGTGCGGCAGATGGTGTGGTGGTGGCTGACGTGGAGGTGGAGAGCCAATCAGAGGGCTCCGGGATGTGCCAGCTGTCGTCGAGGTTTGTGGTGGTGTCTGATGGTCTGGAAGCATGGAGGGGGAGGGAGGGAGGTGGGCGGAGGGAGGGAGGGAGGGAGGGAGGAGGAGAGAGTGAGGGAGAGAGGAAGGCCAGAGGAAGGGGATGGCGGCAGGCGCGTGGCGAGATCTTGCTACGACTGCTGGACGCTGACGCGTTACACGCCCATTGTCCGTTTCGTTAAAGTGGAAAACCATTCACGATATATATATATATATATATATATATATATATTGCACAAAGGCTGGAGGGAGGGAAGATGCCCCGTGAGAAGAACGACGAACCACAGTGAGAGAAAAGGAAGGGAAAAGCAGGATAATACGTTGATCCGTCGCTTTGCGCACAAGCGCAGAAGGCAGAACAACCAACTGATGGGAATGCTGATGCTGGGCTGGCGCTTATGTTGACGCTGACGCAGACACCGATGCAAATAACGAGCGCACGGAGAGTGGAAACGCAGCATCCACACCTCCAGAGCACTCCAGATTCGATGCCATTTTATCATCAAAGCATCCTGACTCCTTCGTCCCTCGTCCCTCGACCCTCGTACCTCGCGCGGCTGACCACGAGCTTCGATTTCGTCGCCGCTTTTTTCCCGCCTGCCGCCCGCCGCGGTCCCTCCCCCGACCGCTCCATTCTCGCTCACCGCGCCCACTCGGTGGGCGGGGAGGGCTCGCACGCACACCGTGCAGCCGTCGCACGATCGGCAGACGTCGCACGACCGGCAGACGTCGCACGATCGGCAGGCGTCGCAGCTCCCCCAGGAGACACTGCCGGTGCTGGGTTGGTGGATGTGGCTGGTTGCCCGGGATACTAGCTCGGCAGCTTCGCGGCAATGTGAAGGCCGGTCGGAATCTCACCGTTCATGATAGGAAAGACGATGAATTTATAAAGACGAGAAATGGATGAGCAATTCTGCGGCGGTGACGCTGTAATGGGGAGTGGTGCCGCGAGAGACCTACCGCATAAAAAGGCACTGGAGTTTGGGTGATGTGAAAGCAAGGACGGCACGGCATTTATGCTAAAAAACTGGTGATGGATGGTAGTTGGTTGGTGGTGGTTGGTTGTTGGGGTGGTGGCGAATTGGAGGCCGGTGGCGACAATTTTCCACGAGCGACTTCAACGCCGTGGGAAATGTGGTTACACTTAGGGCGCGTAACCATTTTGATTTTTCTTGAAGTTGCGCTTAGAAACTAACTTTCGATAAACGGACGGTCCGATTTCCCATATGCAACCGTTCGTTTATCGAAACCGTACTTCAGTATTCGAACCGTATAATAGAACTTTTTTAGCGTTTTGAATCCGCGCGAAATCGTACCAGGTTACGCAATCAGGTGATTGTCGTCATACTCATACTCCAACCCTGAGCCGCAATCAGGGAAACCGGGGGGGGGAGCCAAACGAGGAGAGCAGTCACCCCCAGACGTACCACTCCCAGGCCCAGCTCCAGCAGCCTCAGCTCCAGAGTCCACAGCAGCAGGCTGCGGAGGTGGCGAAGACGGCCGAGGCGGGAAACCCGGGGGGGGGTCTCCAAGCGAGGAGTGTGGCGAGTGGTCGCCGTGTCGTCGGCGACGACGTCACCCCCCTCAGCTGAGTCAGAGGAGTCAGAAGAGATCTTAACTGGCTCATCCAAGGGGGGTGGGTCTACCTGGGACACACCTGAGGGAGCAGGACCCTGTGGGAGAAGGGGGTCTACCGGGGGGGGGGACTGGTACCAGGAAGAGAGGCGCGAGGGGGACCGGGTGGGACGCGTGTGGGTGAAGTCGGTAGTAACAGACCGACTCGTCGAAGGTGACGTCCTGAGAGGACAGAACACGACGCGAGGCAGGGTGGTAGAACTGCCAGGGTGGAGCGTCGGTGGGGAAGCCCAGGAAGACACAGCGGAGAGTGCGAAGAGAGAGCTTGCTCGCTTTGGTATCGCGAACAAGGGAGAGCGCGCCCCAGACCCGAAACGACGACGCATCACCAGGCTGTCCCGTCCAACGGAGTGTGGGCGAGGTCTCTGGAGCAGAGACACGGGGCCAGAGGTTGAGCTGATGCGCGGCGTATCGGACCGCAAACGGCCACAGGAAATGGGGAGCAGCCGCATGGATCATGGAGGTACGAGCAACCTCCATGATCAGGCCAATGCAACGCTCAGCGATCCCATTTTGCTGCGGAGAGGCCGGAAGCGTGAACGACTGGGCGATGCCCTCATCCTGGCAGAACGTCTCAAGGACGCCAGAGGAGAACTCACCACCTCTGTCAGAGTGCACACGCAGGACTGGGAAGTCCTGCTGAAAGCGCTCGTGCAGCTGGAGACGAGTAGCACGGATCCAGGGGATCAAAACACCGCTGACGTCCGCCTTGCGACGCAAGGGGAAGACTGTGGTGTAGCGTGTGTAGTCGTCAACAACCAGCAGGAAGTAGCGCTCCAGGTCTGTCCCACCGACTGGGGCCGGGCCCCACACGTCCAGGTGGAGAGTCAGTGGTCGGAGGAAACTCGGAGGAGTGAGGAGCGGCGCGCTGCCGCCCCTCGACGCAAGGAAGGCACGGCGGCGCAAGTGAGCGCGGGAGGGGGGGCAGGGTCCTGGGGAGGCCAGAGACAAGGAGATGGGAGTGCATACTGCGTAGACGCTGCAGGGAGGGGTGACCAAGACGGTGGTGCCAGCGCTGAGTCTCGTGCGTGAGTACTCTGCACGAGCAAGACGCAGCTAACTGCCTCGACGCAGACGCCCGACTCGACGCAGCCACCTGACCTGACTCAGCCACCTGTGCAGACGCAGTGGTCAGTGTGTACAGACTAGACCCAGGCTGTCGAGTGAACGTAGCCAGGTGACGGCCAGTCCGGGAGCACGTACAGATCGCCACACGCTGCCCTCCAGGAATAAAGGTATCAACCCAGACATCCTGAATGGCAGCGTTGCTCACCAAGTTCGTCGAGAACGTGGGGAGGTGGAGACCTGACAGAGAGCCGGAGGGGACTGCTGGACAAGGGAGGACCGTGGAGGCTCTCGCAACTACTGGGCCCCCAGAGGGGTCAGCCAGTGAGACAGGGACAGGTGCTGTGAGTGGTGTGACTGTGGTGCAATCACGAAAGCAGCAACGTGACGCGCCTGAGTCAAGCGTGAAAGTGTGCAAGACCTCAGCTGAGGCAGGACCTGTAGTAGGAGACGCACTAGCACCTAGAGCGTCGGCAGACTCACGGGCACCTAGAGCTGCAGCAGACTCACTAGCACCTGGAGCGGCAGCAGACTCACTAGCACCTGGAGTAGCAGCAGACTCACTAGCACCTAGAGCAGCAGTCTTAACAAAACGATAACCTCCACCACTAGGACGACCTCGTTGAATAACCTACTCACGAAGCTGCTGAGGGGTGAGGTTGTCCGGGAGAAGTAGTGCCCGCTGTTGTCCACCCCTGACCGCAGCAACTGCCACGGAAGTGGCCATGACAGACAGTGACGGTCAGGAGTAGGTCCAGCACCTCCAGCTCCTACAGCACCAGCAGCACCTCCACCAGCAGCAATAGTAGCACGAGTAGCAGCAGCAGCAGTAGTAGTAGCAGGGCGGCTTGGGTTGGGTAGGGCGACGCGGCTCGGCCGGGTACAGCTCAGCAGTAGCAGCGGGTGCCACAGCAGCAGCCGCAGCAGTGGAAACCCCTTTTTTTTTTTTTTTTTTTTTTTAAGAAAGCAGAAGTAGCGCGGCTTAGGCAGGGCGGCGCAGCTCGGGCTGGGCGGCGCGGCTCGGCAGGGCGGCGCGCGGGCTGCAGGAGCGGCGCACGGGCTGCAGGGGCAGCGCGCACGGGCTGCAGGGGCGACGCGCGGGCTGCAGGGGCAGCGCGCACGGGCTGCAGGGGCGACGCGCAGGCTGCAGGGGCGACGCGCGGGCTGCAGGGGCAGCGCGCGGGCTGCAGGGGCGGCACGCGGGCTGCAGGAGTGGCGCGCGGGCTGCAGGGGCAGTGCGCACGGGCTGCAGGGGCGACGCGCGGGCTGCAGGGGCGATGCGCGGGCTGCAGGGGCAGCGCGCGGGCTGCAGGGGCGGCGCGCGGGCTGCAGGGGCGACGCGCGGGCTGCAGGGGCAGCGCGCGGGCTGCAGGGGCAGCGCGCACGGGCTGCAGGGGCGACGCGCGGGCTGCAGGGGCAGCGCACGGGCTGCAGGGGCAGCGCGCACGGGCTGCAGGGGCAGCGCGTGGGCCACAGGGGCAGGCACGGCTGCAGGGGCAGCACGGTTGAAGGGGCGAGTACTGCTGCAGGGGCAGCACGGTCGCAGGGGCGAGGACGGCTGCAGAGGCAGCGCAGTCGCAGGGGCGAGCACGGCTGCAGGGGCAGCGTGGTCGCAGGGGCAGCGCGCAGGCTGCAAGGGCAGTGTGGCTGCAGGGGCAGCGTTGGAAGAAAATTTTACGGGTAGGGCAGGGCGGAACGTTCGGTGGGCCCTAGGAACGATTCTGCTCTAATACCATGTTAGAATAAGAAGGAATGAATTATTGAACTAGGCAAGAGGTGAGTACAAGTAGGGGAAACCTAACCCTAAAGTGTTGTACTCACTAAGGAGTGACCCTACTGTAGCCTAGAGATACAATTGTAATCTGACAAGGCTGGGTAGTAGTGGCACCAACCGGGGTGAGCGGCGGTTGGTAGGTGTAGGATGTGTTGGCGTATGAAGGGAATTGAGTTTAGCATTCCCGTAGGTGCAGCTGTATCGCACCCGTCACTATCGAAGCAGCGCCTGCAGCAGTATCGGATCAGCCCGTAACAAGGGCAGGAAGGTCAACAGTCGCAAAGGTCAACAGTCGCAAAGGTCAACTGTCGCGACTGTTGACCATCTGGACCGATTGACTCACCAGCGAGGAATGGCAACAGGCGTAACCATCTGTACGGTTACACACAACGACTCGGTAACAAGAAGAATAGCAATGGTTGGAGTCAGGCCCTCAGAAGTCAGGAATTTTACCCTGAATTCCTGAAGTTTGACCCCCGTTTTTTATCATGACCCTGATGCATCAGCCTTTTTTTTTTAACGACCCTGATGTTTCAGTGTTTTTAAATTTCGAACTCTGATTTTCCAGTGTTTTGTGTTTGAGGACACTGACGAGTCAGTGTTGTATCGGGGTCTACCCTGAAACTGAAAACTCCTTGTTTTGGCGCGCCGTCACCGTGCACCAAGGGGATTTCTGGCGGAACATGCTCTGACATGGCGAATCTCTTGTGTGAGGGGCGAATCTGTTGCTGTGTCAGGGAAAATCTGCAGTGATTGGGCGAATTTGCTGTGCTGCGACAGCGCGAAACTGTGCCAGGGCGAATTTGCCGTCAGGGCGAATCAGCTGTGACGAACCAAGTCCGAATCATCAGTCAAGTACACAACCAGAGATTAGAAACAATCGTTAACAATTGTCCTATTCGATTGGTCAGACAAGATTTCTGACCAATCAGACACGGAAATAGCAAAATTCTGGCCGAATTTGGGAATTGTGAAGTATGGGCAGTCTGATTCGATGTGTTATGACAACATACCGGTATAAGCAACTATGCTTATCAGTGTTGAAGTTTTAGAAACCCTGATTGATCAGCGTTTTATTTCTAACAACCCTGTAAAATCAGTGTTTCACACCAGACGACACTGAAAATCAGTGTTACCCTCCTAGGGACACTGAGTGCTCA